CAAGGCGGTGGCTGGACCGTAGTCCGCTCCACACTGAGTGCATGGAACCGCTCTTTGAGCCTAGCACGGCCACAAGAACCGTGCACCCCGTCCCCTCCAGCAACGACCAACTGTCTCCTGGAGCCAGTATGAACGATGTAGTGGGTAATAGACAGGTAGGCACCTTGTCAACATACACATCAAGCGCAACCATACCAGGGATATCAAACAACAGCCATTCACTTTAAACGACAAGCTGAAATTAAATAAATCCAATAATGCATACAGCTATGGTGGCATAACTCTTCGCTAAATTACCATATGGAGTAAGTTGGTTAGCAACAAATCCGTGATAAGTAAGAAATGTCCACAAGTTACTCAAAATGCTACAAACGCAACAAAATTACCGAAAATAAGCGCAATTAGTGTAAGCAACGTGGCCAGTTAATAGAACATTATTCAGGGAGGCAGAATAAACCAAATAAAGCGGAATGAAATTTAGCCAGCTTAAAAAGACCTAGTTTAAGTGTAAGTTGGTTTAGCCCAACATACATACATACATACATACATATAATACAATACACAAAGAAAAAGTAGGTACAACAGTTGCATGCCAGCTGAGATACCAGCAACGGATAGGCATCGTTCCGTTAAGCTACCAGCCAGCTACTAGGCAAAAAGAACAAAGAATTTATTATGTTTTACGCTAGGAAATGAGATCGTAGATGGAGGGGGAGGCCAAAAGGGATAGGGAGGGACAAAGAAACTCACAGCACAAACGCCACTGAGGTCGGCTCCTTGCCATGTCAGCAAGTGTGTCCAACCGAAAGTGTTCACCGTCTTTTTGACCCCAACCAGGTAGCCGTGAAGCTCCAACCGAGGCCAACTCAGAACTAAGTGCCTTCATTCTTCTCGACCAAGTCATGGCTTGGCCACCTATCCTCTACTTCCACCCACATCCTCGGTGAGCAAACAACGCACGTCGAGGGAGTCGGTGGGCTGGCGTGCGTAACACATGGCCGAGCCATCGGAGCCTGGTGCGTGAAATGACGGTGCTGAGCGTTTCATTTCTTTTCCTGGGCCGTAAACAAGGCGTCGAACACGCTCGTTATTCATGCGGTGTTCCCACCAGATGTGAGCCAAACTGCGAAGGCACAGATGGTCGAACGTAACTAGCCTTTTCATGTCCCCCGATCGTAGGGGCTAGATTTCGCAACTGTACAGTAGGGTCGAACCTACCGCTGCACTGTACACGCTACCCTTCAGGGCGAGAGTGATGTCGCGCAGCCGCCATAGGTGGCGAAGGTTAGCAAAAGCACTTCGAGCTTTCGCTATACGATTCGTGATCTCATCTTCGATCCCAGGGGCGCTGATACAAATTCCCAGGTAAATTGTGAACCACTTCTAGCTGATCCCCACCTAGGGTCAGCGCAGGAGGCGATCCCTGCCAATCTTTGAGGAATGCTTTGCAGTTCGATGGTGCAAAAAAAAAATCCCGAAGCGGCTGACCGCCAGTGCTAATCTGTCCAGCGCGTCCTGGCACGTCTGGGCGATGTCGTCTGCATACTCCAAGTCAAGAAGTCGTTCTCCTGGGAGTAGCTCCACACTTTACAAGTCATTTCCTGTAAATGCCATCTCCACGACTTCGTCAATAGCGAAGTTGAATAGGAAAGGTGACAGCGGGCATCCTTGTCTCACACCGCTGGAAAAATTGAAGGGTGGCGACAGCTTGCCGTAAGCCATAACTCTGCCCGTGCTACGCGCGTATAATGCTTGGATAATATTTACATATTTCTCGCGCACACCTTTCCTGAGTAAACAATTCCAAAGGGCACATCGATCAACCGAATCGAAGGCACCTTTGATGTCGAGCAACACGAATACGGTGGGCCGCCAATATGTGTGGCAGTGCTCCAAGAACTGACGCAAAGTGATGATGTGGTCGATTCAATCACGACCACGACGAAACCCGGCTTGCACCTCACGAATCGGGCTTTCACGAGCGCCAGTCAGTCTGTGAAAAATTATGGAGGCGAGTAATTTGGAGGCGATAGAGATCAGACTGATTCCTCCATGGTTGCCGCATTCTGAGCGCGAACCGCCTTTGAAGATGGGAACAATAACGGAGCAGCTCCAGTCGGTTGGGACAATCTCCTGCTCCCACAGTTTCACTAGTAATTCATGTAAAGCATCAACAAGAGCAGAGCCTCCGAATTTGAAGAGAGCTGGAGGGAGATCATCTGGTCCCGCGGCTTTGTTCAACTTCAACATTTCGATCTCATGTTCGACTTCTGAGCGAGAGGGTGGATCCAAAGGGACAGCCCACGGAGCAGAGCGATCAGTGACCGGCGAATCGAACAATTCTAGCCGATTAAATTGCTTTTCGAAATGCTCAGCCCAACGCTCAAAACGTTTTGACAAATTGTTTCACTAACACCAGGTCTCTTGCTGCCCGTTTCCCGTATCAGACGGAATAACTTACGATGGTTGCTAAGGGTAGCGGCCACTTCCATCTCTGACGCACGATGGGACCACCAAGATTCGCGGTCTCCCTTCAGGCTAGCACGGAGTTTTGTCCGGAGCTCTTTGCGAGTTTCTTTATGTTCGTTTCCATCCGGGTTATGCCGGCGAGCATCTATAAGTTCCAGAGACTGTGAAGAAACCCAATGTCCATGTTGGCGATTAGACATACCACACGAGGATTTGCCTGCTGCTAGTAAGGTCTGGTGAACATGTGACCAGTGGCCATCAATTGTCTCCAGTGAGCGATTACTCAACTCGCATGTCAGCGTATTTCGATACGCATTCAGAACAGCTGGTTTGGTCAGTTGGCTGGTGTCAATGCGTTCACATCGTCGTCGTTGGCGTCCGCCAAAGCGCATCGTAATGTCAGCACATACAGGTGCATGATCGGTGTCCACACATGTGCTCCAAATCGAGCGACAATTCTGGATGCAGCCTCTCCAGCGGTAACTTATCGCAACGTGATCGATCTGCGTCCAAGGCTGGTTGGAGGCTGGTGGGCGCCAAGTCACCCTCCGGCGGGTGCTGTGTCGGAAATTAGTGCTCGCAAGAAATAAGCGAGCACCTTCACACAAATGAAGTAACCGCTCACCGTTATCATTACGGGAGCCTACACCGTACTGACCGCCCAGATGCATTTCATCAGTGGACAACTTTCCAACTTGTGCGTTCAAATCCCCCGCCATCACAACGGTGTCCGTGCTTCTTCTGTGGCGAAGGAGCTGAGTCAGTTGGCGATAGAAGTCGTTCTTTACCGAATCATCGTTACAGTTTGTGGGTGCGTAGACAGCGAGGATGAATAGATACCTATTAGTCCCGCACAACTTCGAAGCTTTAAACGAGCCAGCCAATCGGACCGCACACATCCGGCTACTGATTGGACTCCAATCAACCAGAGCAGCTTCAGCCCGGGGACTCAGGGAAATGCCAACACGAGCTTGACCTGTACTCGAAGCTGCATCGTCACCGGATAGGCGCGCTGAGAAAATACTGTTTTCGTCACCTGAAGGGGATCGCAGAGTGAGCACAGAGCTCGAGCCTTGCAGGCGAGTCTTTGATAAGCAACAAATATCGATCGAGACGGTCTCCAATGTTCGGGCAAGTGCTGCCTGTTGATCGAGCTGTAGTAGTGTGCGTACATTGGGGCACGCCAATCTGAAGGAGGATCGAGGGCTCCCAATGGAAGCCGATGAACTGGTATGGACCGCTTGGTTGGGCATGGGCTTGTCCACAGGAGAGGAGTGACGCTCCGCGTTCAGATATGAGTTGAAATTAGAAGATAAATGCCTAGCAAAACATGTTGGGGGAGGGCCAAGAACCGGGGAGGGTTGAAAACTGGTGGGATATAAGTGAAGTTAAAAGGGGACGGTAAGAGTGAAAAAGCGTAAGATGGGGAATAAGAAGACGGGAAGGCTTGAGCAGTAGCATCCAGATCCCTATCCACCCTGCTCACTGCAGCAGATAGGACACCGTTTATTATCCTCTGCGGTGGCCAGAGCATCAGAAATTTGTTTGGGGAAGGATTCATTCTATTGCGTGGGCAGGATACTGTCAGGTTGCCCAGGCCTAGACAGGAGAACGATTAGGGTTCTCAACCAAGGCCTTTGGTTCAAGAAGCTGACCGCAACGCAGCGGGTTTGGAGTTGGGCTACGAGGAGCCCGTGTTAAGGAATTAGGTTCCACCCTCATTGCAACCCCCAACCTGGAGAACCATGAGGCTGAGTTTGTCTGATCTCTAACCATTGACCAATCTGGTATGAGTGGCTCTGAAGGTGCAAAAATGCACCACCCAGCATAGCTCAATGGATCACTGAAGCACACAAACCATCACACCACGTTAAGATCCAGCGTCATTGCGATGGTGATACTTGAAACGCTACAGAAAGAACCAATTTGGTTTTCCAAAGCACTTATCAAGTACTGTTTGCATACCACATTAAGCTTCGTTTGCGCCTGTTTGCGACCACAAATTCGGTAGTCATTTTGGTTAGCCTATACTGTTGGGAAGCATTTTGTTATTTTATGCCATTAGCTGCAGTGAAAGTTAATAGAAACACTGACAATGCAAGCTTTCACAAAAGAAAACCGATGCACAGATGTCACTTGAGCAAACAGTCCCACATCTTTGAGTAAGATCGCGTATTTATGAGCAGCGTTATGAGAAATTTCACATAGTTTCACTAAAGCGCTTCTTGATAACTGGTTTCATTTTGCTGAAAGTAGCAAACGGCGAAATACGCGCAGTAGCTCGATATGTGATGTTGAAAGAATCCGCGAAGTAAGACAGTCTCGGTGACAATAGTCATAACCAAGCCAAAGAAATTGTCAAAATATTGTTAAATCCGTAGTAGATATAGTTAGGTGATGTTTAGGTGAAAATTGCGTCAGCCAATTCCAACTCCTCATACACCTATACGAGCAAATCCAAGCCATCACACAGAGGAAGCTTGTTGCATCACAGCAAGGAGTAGACGTAAAGAGGGGATAATGTGACTCACTGCGTGCTCTGATGTTTCCATGGTAATAATACACCGTCGTTTCCGTGGGTTCGCTTGCATTTCTCAGAGCCTTTACTATCCTCTCGGTAAATTCAGGTGTGTCGTATTTCACACCACTCTCTTTCAATCCGTCCACATCAAATGTGACTAACATTTTAGCCGTTTGAGCATCAATAATGTTGACTTGGCACGATAACCAATTGTCATAAACCTTCGAATCGGAGGAGTTGAAAATCCGTTTACTCTGAAAAACATTAACATTGGAAGCACGGCGGAGCAACGAGGCAAAACATCTATTCTGTAATGACTGTATTAACTGTCTACTGGGATGTAATCGGGCAAGTAAAGGACTATTTAAACGTAGCTCTCACCTGATATCCTAATCGGATCTGAACCTATGTGCAAAAAGCTCCGATGAACTGATTGATTCAGCTTGTGCAATTTACCACCCGCCTTCCACCACATATGTTTCCAATACTACGACTGTTGTTAAGAAGACAGGACAAGCGATGCTGGCAGAGCTCAACGGCCTGGTGATCCTGGCGACAACCGCCAATCACTTTGTGCGCAGTTTTACTCCTACCTCAGGCTATCTCTACTTAATGAGTTCAAACTTGGTAGAGAGCAACCCCGAAACCCTCCAGTTCCGTGACGGTCGTATTGTCAGAGGCTGACTTCAAAGGCAACCGAGGCCACAAATGAGATTGCGTGTCGCAATCCAAGACACAAGGTTGATGCTTCAAAACACGAAAATCAATTTCGTACAGCTGTGGCAAGTATTGCTCATGGAGCTCAATGGCCTTGTGAGCTTGGCGATAGCCGACAAGCACTTTGTCCTAAAAACCCCTCTTAGCTCTGCCTTCTCTATCTGCTGAGTTCAAACAAGGACGAAAACGTCGGTTTTGAAGTGCAGGGATGAGAAAAGGCCACACTGAAACCAACCGTACCAATGCAAAATGGATTAGTCTCTTCGATTGGCTGTCGCGAAGACACCGATTAAGCGCGTGCCACAAAAGTTGATCGGCTCCGTTTGAATCGCACACTGTGCGTCAGCTTGCGGTTTGAATGGAATGCTTCAGCGTTGAATCAAACAGTTCCTGTCGTGCAACTAAACGTTCATGTCCGCTTGAAGTTTGCAAATGACTTCAGGTAAATTACCAGCCACCTTAAGAGCTTCAATACAATGAAATTCGGAAGAGTCAAGTTTGACCAAACCTTGTATTGTGGGCTTACCTTGGTGACGAAGAAAACGGGCCAGATATCGTTAATATAATACACAGCTTACGGCTTACAAAATGTAAAGCAGAATAATTATATATAAAAATTTGATCGTTTGCAAATTGTCAACTAACCTTGACTTAGCAGGATAATCAACTGGGTTTCCAAAATTCTTGGACAGTTTTAAGATATCAATGACTTAACTGCAATCCAAGTTTAGGCCTATGCTGGTCTATTTCAACCCACACGACCCTTCTCGATGGGTAACCTTTCGACAGGCGAATAAAGCTCAACGTTATTATCCTGATGGTATACATCGAAGTGATCAAAACTAAATGCTTAATAGACGTATAAGAGGTACAGTGTCAATGCAATATGTGACCGGATTTGGTCAAAGTAAACCTAGGTGCAGTTTAGATTTGCAAACATGGCATTTTAACAAAACTTAAATTATCATCAGACGAGCACAAAAGTGCAGTTACAGCATCTAGGTCGGTGCGAACCTCTGAGTGTATAACTTTAAGATATACTTTAGATCGTACGCTGACCATGTTCACAAAAGCTGTGGCGGACAACTGGGAAATTATTTTGTGCACTAAACACGACTCATCCATAACTGGTCGAAAGGGATCATCCGGCTTGCAGGCTATGTGATAGGAGTATAGATTGCAAACGGTAACATTGTGCAGGACCGAGTCATTCGCTTTGTCATTCATAGCAGGAAAAATAGGAATCCCCGCGGTTTTGTGTCATTTAGTGCTTCCATTCGTGTAACGCTGCTCAAATATCTCAATACTACATCCTGGTAACGGCATTGCCTTCGTTCCGCCTTTTAATCTCTCGCGGCTTCCACGAACGAACTACGCTACCGCATAGCACTACACTGCACGTGATTGAACATGTTAATTTTGGGCGTATACAGAGAGCTTTTGGTGAATCCGATCTAATCCCTTCTGGCATACATACGCCCGAACGTGGAATAGGCGATTTAAGTACGACAGCTACGGTTGAAACGAAATCTCACTGTCTTGGGACTTCCACTGCTTCGGGCCACCAAATGGGCTATACCACTTATCCTACGAACAGCGCGTGAGCATTTCCGGAATTGAAAAGCACAAGTAGAAGACGAAGTTCGGCAGATGCATGCATTTCGTATCATCTCATCAGTGCCGATAACGATAACCGGTAATTTTATATAAAGGAGCACGTACCAAAATGGGTTCATTGCGGGCTTAGTCAGCAAGCAAGCCCAAATCAGACTAGGTGTGTACGCAGGCCGCCAGCATCTTCGATCGGCAGGCACTTATTGACATCGGGTCACCGAATTGAGGTCAACAAGGCGTTCACGATCCTGCTTCGTCATACTAATTCCCGGCTGCTCCGGTTTGCCGAGGCGATTGCCATTAGTCGGATTAAGCCAGCGCTTTGTGTTCAAAAACAATTATCAATCAGCCTCAGGCTGCCTTGGTTGTAGACGAAAGACACCTTTTTCTCGCGTTTGTTTATATGGATGTCTGTACCCACAAACAGTTATATAAAATTACCGGTTATCGTTATCGGCACGGATGAGACGATACGAAATGCATGCATCTGCCGAACTTCGTCTTCTACTTGCGCTTTTCAAGTTACTAAAGCGAACTAACTGTTTTACATTTCCGGACTTTTCAGTAAACGACATGGGCGTTTATGTGGAAATCTTATCACGTTTTACCAGGTTTAAAGCAACACTAATCACTTGGGCTAGCAACTGTCAAATCTCAGCCATAACAACAGACTGAGATGGCACTGTCTGACACTGGCAGAACGATAAAACCGGCTAGAGTGTAGACGGAATCTCTGCTTGATAGGTGTTTGCCACATCCAGAATTCACAACCAACACCTGCTATTTCAGAAACTACATTAGCTGTGTACATAAGTCGTGTCGACACTGCGTTGGTGGCAATATACTACATCACTTAACATATATTGACCGTGTGCACGTTCAGAAAACAAGCCCCATCAATGCGCACCTGTTTTTTAAGAAAACCAAAGGCAGTGACATTTCAGTTTGTACAAAACTATAGGTGAGTGATCCAGACGGACAACATTTCGCTCGGCAAGTTTACTGTTTTCGGTTCCCCTGTTTGTAGTTCGCTTTTTTTGCTTTTAATTTTTGGCTTTTTATCCGCAGTGTACCATTGACCACTGATCACCAACCTGAGAACTGGGCACAACACCACTACACAAACCACATTTTGAGTTCGTCCATCTGAATATGTCACATTTCTCCATGACTGCCGCAAATGGATCATACATTTAGGCTATGCTGGTATTAATCACGGCTTTATCTATACTCACAGAAGTCGAATGTGAACTACGCTGCAACAAAGTGCTCCGTTGATCTGTATGAATGGAGGCTGTCATTCCACTATGAAGTGCATGCCGTCTCAATAAGCCTTGTGGGTGTGGGTGTGTGTGTGTGCATGTGTGTGGACCTTGACTAGTGTTCAACACACTTGGCGCCAATGGTTTACATTCAAAGTTCTGACAACTGATTTAATGCACCGTATTTTTTAAATTCAAATTCGATCGAGAAACACTTCACGCATAATGCAGTGTTAGACGAGTGCATGCAATGACTCACTCGTTCACAAAGGGTTTCGTTCAGTTTGATGTAGTCCTCCGATCCTGGTGTCCGTTGTAATGGAGTGAAGGTGGCACGTTTCTTGTCTACAAATACATCGCCCTCAATCGACATTGCTGGGAGAATATAGGGGAGAGTCTCAGTTAAACATCCGTTATTAACCTATCACGGAAGGAACCATTAGAATGGTAATAAGCAGAGACAGGTTCCAATAAAGATGTTAGGCTAGATCCAGTCGTGTGCGAACCATTCTGTCAAACGTGGACTACTCATTAGGGTGTTGTTTAAAGCGGAAGGGAAGACTAGGCTTAAGACACGAAAATATGTTATCAGTCTATATCTTAGTCATTATTACGCGTGTGTAAATTCACTTAAGGAATATCGCATTTAGGCTTACTACGTATGAACAGTGAACTAACAGATGTCGTTTTGGGTAACCATCCAATAGAGCAATTTCGGGACGGAGCTTAGCAGCTTAGGCCCGCAACTGTATGACGAAGTCACAAGTAGTTATCTTTTGTCGATTTATTGTGTTGCCGTGCCGGTGAAGGTAAGTATTTTGGGTATAAATTTCGACTTTGTGTCAACTTTTGTCGCAATTCTGTTAAAGCAGTACAAAATGCTTCACGATCAGTCCCCTTAGAACTAGCAGGTTCTTGCACTGGAAGCTTGTTAGATCACCCAAATTAGCACGCAGTTGCAACAGTAGAGTGAATTACAACCTACCAATAGTGCATTCATTAAAAGACAGACGGGTGAATGGGATTTTGTGGCCAACCACCTAGTGGCTGAATCTCGTTTGGACTACTCGCCAGGGGCTTTCCTGAGGACCTCCAGTCATTGCCCTGTCTTTGATCGGATCCTAGAGGAGTATCCTAATCCAGCTACACTCAGATTCATATTCTCACCTGCTTCGGTTACTTTCCAGTTGCAAATGACTTATTTTTACTGCTTCAGACGGTGCCTAAACTGAGCGGAAGCGGGTCAGTTGCTTAATTCTCAGCTGTTTCTCCTAAAGCCCATTCCATTACGATTCCTCGCTTCTCGTTGATAAAAACGGAGTTTGTCCCGGAAGTTACACTACAGCTCACGAATTATGCCCATGTTTAGATAAAAGTCCAAATAGCGAAAGGTTCTCATCACAGCAATTATCTTCAAGATACTACAATACAACTGTAGTCTGCCAGACTTATCCACACATTTCCCGGCGGTCTCTTACCAAAAACAGTCGCACTTTACAAGTCTCCACCTCTCAGATGTTGCATTCAATAAGCCGCATTCGCATGCACACGCGGCGTCCATGGTGTTAATCCGCGCGGTGTCCCAGAAACCAGAAGCTGGAATTCTCATACTTTGCTAGGCTAACTACGCTTAGATTGCCAAATGTTTTGGTAGCGTGAGACTTGCAGTGTTCCTACAGTGCCTCCAAGTCAAGGTTCCACACGGAATCATATATGTTTTGCTGGGTCCCCGAAAAATATTAAAACCCCACTACCAAATTTAATTGAGAAATGTTCACGCAGTCGCATCACGTGCCCTCTGTACAAGTTTTTGCACTTGTGCTAACTGACAACGGTTTGGAGACAGCCAAAGGTAACTTTTATCGAGATAGTGAACAGCTAGCACGACCTACTGCCAGATCACATAAAGTTCTAGCAAACGCGGATATGACAAGGCATTTATAGCATCTAAGCTTAAGATAGCTACACATATATAAAACAGAGAACTGAATCCGACCCCAGTAAATGTGGCTAGTGTCTATTGTAACAATGTGCTGATTGCTGTTACACAACACCAGGTACACCCAAGTGGGCTCCGATGTGGCACTAAAAGTCCATTTGTGGACAGCAGACCAAAAGAGATTGCCTCTTTGTCAGTTTCTGATGGTGTCGTTCCAGCATTTAATATTACTCATTTTGGAACACAAATCTCGTAGCGTACCGTATCTTAGTACCGCTGATCGTTCCAAATTTCATTATATACTCAACGAGAGTGCCTGTCGAATGGCACGAAGAAATATCAGCTCTTATTTAGCTTGGGCTTCCATGAGAATTTGCACGCAACTTCTTTAATTAACTATCCATCGCCATGAAATGCTGCAGCAGGCGTCCCGAATTTAATAGACTAGTCGAAATTCAAAGGCGTCGATACATTTTTATGAAAAGACGATGAAATTGTGTTTGACATTAGCTAAAAATATAAATGTTTAGTTACTAAACAAAGATATGTTTATCTTTATATACATATTTATATACGCGTTTAGTTTATATACATATATATATATATATGAAGAGCTGCGCAGGACATCTAGCTAACTCATACAATGTTACTTCAATAAATTTTTGTTCCTAACTAGAGGAGATTTTGCTAAAACGACAACGCTTGGTTTTGATGCTGATGAAGAGGTAGATGATGACGATGACCATCACGTGTTGGTCGATAACGACAGCGTTTTCGTCTAGTTACATGCACACCTGTCAAACTGCTAACCAGAAAGATAAATGATGAACAATGGATAATGAAAAATGCTTTATAACGGGTAAAAAAGCAGTTGCTTGACAAGTTCCGTGGGGTGGTTAGAGTGAGAAAAGATAGATCAAGGGATAATGGGATCGTCCGTTCGGGCGATTGAAAATTTAACTGCGCTGCCGTATAAAGGGAGTTTGAAATTGGAATGTGTGCACACAAAGCAATAGAGGGAGTGGTTATTGATCAGATAATCAGCGAGGAAAAAATACAATAATAGCAAGGACAGCGCTTATTCGTGTGCAGCTATACATCGTGTGCAGCGATACAGAAATCCAGTTTCTACAGTGGTAGCATTTATCAAATTGTGTGCAAGGGGTTTGGAGTGACTCATTCTGACACTGTCCACTGTCTGTTGTGCATTAGTGCCAGCATCTGGTAGTCGTAAGATATAGAACGTAGTGTAAATGCAACGGAGTATCGTCAAGGCGTTTTCTGAAGACAGATAAGGTGGCAGCATTAATTGTAGGTGCCGGGAGGTCGTTCCAAGACTCTGACACTCGAAGGGAGACATAGTTTCGCCGACATTCCAGGCGGCTGTACTGCGTGACTAGCTTTAACTGATGACCTCTTAGCGAGGTGTTTTGACTGAGTATTAGAAGGGAATGGCATGGGTGGTTGGGGTTTCTCAGGATCTGATACACCATTATGAGATCGGCAATTAGACGCCGATAACGTCCACTTTGTATTTTGTGAGTCTTCAGCCTGAGTGGGTAAGGGAGGCTGACCAAACCTCTGACGCTGTTCGTTTCCTTACGTTGTGCAGTATTGAGCGCGGTGAGATGGTGCTTGAGCCAGGGTTGCTACGCTTGTATAGCGTATTCCGCTAGCGGCCTCACGTACGCACTAAGCATTTTTGGGAAGACTGAAGGGTCAAGCTTCCCGAAAGCCCTGCGAAGAAGCCCAAGGTACTGGTTCGCTTTCTTAGCAGCCTTTTCAGTCCGCCTCAAACAACCGAGGTCATCTTGAATTATCACGCCGAGATCGCACTCGTGAGAAGCCCGCTGTAGAATTTGTGGTCCCAGGCGGTAGTTGTGCATACTCTTGTGCCGTATGCTGGGAATTTTGCACTTGGTGATGTTGAAATGCGGCATGTTCTCGATGGACCATGTGTACGCTTTGCCCAGTTCCTCCTGTAACGCTGTGTGGTCCCGCACTACAGCTATAGTAGACGATACCTTTAGATCCTCAGCAAAAAGCAAACATTTGGAAGATAGCGTGCTCGCGAGATCATTTTTGAAAACCAGGAACAGGCAGGGTCCTATAGGATGCTTCGAATCCTCACATTCAGGTGACGTTACACGAGAAAATCTGCTAGCCAGCCAAGAGCAGGACCACCGATTCCATATTTCTGGAGTTTGTGGAGTAGAATGCGATGGTCTAGACGGTCGAATGCCTTTGATAAATCCAAGTAGGCCGCGTCGACTTCCAATCCAGCATCCACAGATTCCTTCCAGCTGTTTAGGAGATCCACGCCGTCTCTGGTAGGTGCGTTACATGCGACTAATATTGTTTCAATAAATACGTAACAATACCATAATGCATTGCCATGCGCGACATCCATGGTTCATTCTGGTCGAGTGATGCGATACCGCGTTAGCAGCGATTCATGAATCTCTATTCCGGATTGTATACTTCTCTATGTCGTAGGACACAAGATTAAAGCGACCCCCACTCTAATGTTCTAAGATAGGTTCCGAGTGTAACTCAGACACTACGTAAGAATCTCACCAACTACCCGACACTGTGTATCGTCCGAGACCACAGACCCAACAAGTGTTGTAGAGAGTAGCCACTGTCGTCTACCCTACTTATCGGGTCCAGTCATTCCTAAGTTTCTATCTCGTATATATGCGATTATTATTTACAGTCGTCTGTGATAGTATGCGTATTACACCCGAGTGCTACTGGTGTTAGTAGTGTACTAGTTTAGAAATTAGATCCATGATCAGTTGGTCACTGGTAGCTCCAGGGACAGATTTAACTTGATGGATTCAATGTTAGGCTGGGTCACTTTACTTCGATTCTGTAGCCAGAGTTCCGAACTAAGGAAGCCTCTGTAGTGGAGAAACCGAGGAGTTTATTCATTTTACTTGATAGGGTAAATGGCTTTTATCGCCCAGTTGCAATCCACGGGATTCACCTGATTTGCGTGCTCATTTAGTATGCGCATCTAGCCACGATCTGCTCAAGCGCTTTATAAGACTCGAATGAGCGCCGCTGAGTAGTAGAACAGGGATTCTTAGAACAAAACCTAGTAGATGACTGCATTTAGATTTACCAGGAATATTTGTAGGACGAAAACACTAACAGCGCTAATCAAAAATATGGATCATCAGCTAAACAAGGAAGGACAAACTGGGACGCAACACTAATTGATGCGTTTGGAAATCAATGACTAAATGTGCCAAGGAGTATCGCAAAATAAAAATTTCAAAGGGCACTTTCAGCAGGTAATGGAATAATCTCACCAGAAGTTTCAAATTTGGTTGAACATTTTGTATACTCATTCTCACAAAGTGCCAAGTGTAGCGAGACCACATGCTATCAACATATTCGTCTCCATCTAGCAGTTGATGTAAAACAAATGTGGCCGACCTCCAGCTCAAGCAAGTAGTGAAGTTTACGACGTAAAAATGCACTTAATACTTACCAGACTGCATTGGAATGCGTAAGATCAAAAGACTATAAAATAACCAGTTATTTGGGACTTTTGCGAAGAAACATTCAGTTACCGGTCGTTCAATTAGTACAGGAAACTTGTGGTTATTCGTAGTAATATATGTGCGGAAAATTTAACCGCAATATTGTTAACTTACTTTCCAGGTTCACAGCTGATACTGCAAAGTAAAGAGAGCAAAGTATTGCAAGAATAAATCAAAAATTACAGATTAGACTTCAAAGAATATGTTCGCATATAACTCATGCTCTATGCAACTCCCTATTGTACCACTGATGAAAATTTATGTAATTTGCCAAAGAACATATGTGCAACGATCCTAACATGGCTGTCCGTAGAATCAATTTCTGTATTTTTGCACACTCTTGCAACTAGCTCGAGGTAGCTCAAACAGCAAGTATGGTAGCGTACTTAGCAACTGCGCGCAAAATCTGCTTGATTTATGCGACGCTTCAGATGACAACATAAAACATATTGGTGGATCACTCCGAAACACCAAAGGACAGCAATGGACCAATGCTGCTTTTATAATGCATGCAATAGACCCAGTGGCCAGATTTCTCAAAGTGTTAGATAATAAACCTTTGGTAATCACGCACTGTTGTTGTTCCATATAGCAAGCGCTCTGTCACTTTCGGCCAGGGTGGGGATTAAATAAGACATCAGGCGGGTATTGCTTAGCTATCTTGAATTAAATGTGAACCAGAAGTGGTTGCTTGGCTTTTTAACTTGCTACTGAAGATGGGACATGTTAGTCAGTAACCCGAACCGGAGACTATTTTACACACCTTCAAACTGAATCAAAGACTGCCCCTTGCGTTTTACATACAGGCAGTTTTTTAGATTATCTTGCTTCATGTATAGTTCTTTTACTGTCCTTGGATAGCGGGATAGTCTATTGTACCTGTATATATCTCTTGACATCCAATAATCGATCTAGTTTTATTTCTTTCTTTTTACTATCATGTACTTCTAAAATGTGTCAGTAAAAGGGTGTGCTTCATTGTACCATAGAAAATGACAGACAGTGCCAGCTTCGTCTAGACTTGCATTGTATCCCAAATAACTGCATATATGACTCGCTAAAATTAAACTAAATTTAAAACCGAGCTAGTGTTATTATTACTAATAATTTCTGCTGACCAAGACCTGTATAAGTAAGGCTCACTTCCAGCCTACTACAGGCTGGATGATCGAATGCATTTGGAATGAAGTTGATTATGATGGAAGATACTCTTGTGTGGAAACAACACGGAACCTGCCTATGTCAAACACCCAATCACATCTTGAGGCTACCTACTACAATGGGCATTACATCCTTTCGCCTCATGTACTGAATTTGATCACATGCCACAAGCATAGGACAGTGTGATTTTCTGTCAACTGTGGGAGAACTAAACGACGGCATCTTCTGTTAGGATTGATTGCCTGCTACACAACATGTATGCAAACTGGATGTCTTTATCTTCTATACTCCAGTTATTATTCCTCACTAAGCAGCAATTGCGAACAACCATCGGGAAGGCGAATAAAACGAAGTTAGTAGGGCAATTCCCAGTCGACTCATGGTTAAGTTGAGTTTTCATGAATCCTTACTCCCCACCCCGTTGATTTACCCTACGTTTCTTGTGCAACACTGGGGCCGTGGAAAATTGTGCCTTTGAACCTGTATAACATGCTGAATTGCACCACCACAAAGTGATGTTTTATCATTGGACACCCTGAGCACGTAACCCTACGAAGTAACACGCACCCTGCAACTCTTGCCCTTCCTGTTTACGGTTCGGCCTAGTTGTTATATGATGCCAATTTGGCAACTTGCTAACTTTCAGTGAATCAGCAAAATGTTTGCAGACACCATTTTCTCTGGTAACAATGTTTTTAATGCACGTGGTACGCTATGTGATATTAAACAAATAGCTTGTTAATGCAATATGTCACCGAAGGATATTGCTGCTGCGACCAGTCTTCGGACATCAAAAGTTTAACGGATTTCTTCCTTTATGCACATGAAAGATTCTATTTAATCAACTGATGAAAGAGCTGTAGTTTAGTGCGCTAGTAGATGGCTTAATAGAACTTGCTCACTATATCACATTCTGAGCTATCAATACCCCTCAGTAAAGATTTTTGTGCGACTCGTTATTTTTAATTTTTCATCACCTTAGGATTGCCGTGTAGCCGGTTACGTTCTGTCCGTCTGTTACAGAGCTTCTATATAAATGAAGCTTTTGAGTATCTGATTGTAATCATTTTACAGTGCTCGTGTTGTGAATGAACTGTTACGTGCAAATCACAATGTGGAACGCGATTCGTAATAAAATGAACCTTGGCCAAATCGATCACTGGGACCGTGAGTGATGAAGCAGGTAGATATTGTGTGTTACCCAGCTCAAAAACACTGTATTCCACGACGGCTTACTGACTTAGTAGAACTCATCAAACATCGAACACGAGTATTTAGGGAATTCGGATTAGCCGTGGCAAGTGATTTCTAACAAGTACACGACGGTGATTAGCACCGCATAACATTTCATGCCTGCATGCGCCAGACGAAGACCAAACTGCCCTGTGTGAGCTCTAAGATGACTAGTGTTTGGCGACTGCGCTTGCGCCGATACTGGAAACGCAAGCAAAGTACTGCATATTCCCGAATTCAAGGTCCATTAATTTCTCACATACGTGTGACTTCGCTAAACTAAGGTTATACAGTAAACACTGGTGCATTACGGCATAAACCCCGTGTGAACCAATATCTCAGGGAAAGCATGCTATTCTCATGGCATTCATAACTAATTTATCAGGAGGCATTTGTTAAATAGCCGACGGAATATAGGCATCATGAAGTCTACGGCTGTCTGTGTTCACCCCAAAATGATAAATAAGCTCGATGGTTTGTAATGTCATTAGTACAGCGATATCGACATCAGTCCACGTGAGTACGAAAATACCGCCAATTGTGGAATTAAGCATCTATGACTGCAGCGCATCGGTAGCTATGCGTTGCCTGCAGAATAGGTCCCACCCACTGACTGAAACAGAACAGATGTTTACTGGTTGGAAAAGCTTCGCGCTTCAAATATTTGTGCTTTGCGTCTCTGTCCTGTTAAGTGACCATCTGATTCGTCAGCGAATATGGGGCGGTACGGTTTTGACTAACGTGGGGGATCTAGGTTCTTCTGACATATACTGGCCGAGTGTGGAAAATCTACTCGTCATTGGTCCATCGATCAGGTCACATGGACTCAGAATTTCCTCACACCTAACCTCAAGTGAGCTATCGTCTCGTAAATGACGTTTCCTATAGGTTGCTGAAATGATGGGTCACACACCACTGGTAATGCTTTGCGTAGCAAGTTAGGACGTCATTCGCAATATTTCATGGAAGGTTTCTGGACAGGATTCCGGAGAGAACATCTGTACTGTTGTTCTAATTATATTAGGAACTGCATTAAAAATCTTTTTGCAGTTGTTTTTACCGTCGACCAGTACGTATCCAATGTCTGCAACTCGTTAAACAGTGACTGAGTTTTCCTCGCCCTAAAATTACTTCAGAGCAAAACCAGCTCGTTATGAATCGTGAACCAAATGATACCCGAAGTAGCTTCGTAGTTTGTTGTCCCTATTCTATACCTTCCGTCGCAATAAAGAATCATTCTCTATGCCTCACCAGTTCCGCTAATGATAGTGCGATTTCAAGTTAATTAGAATTAACGTCTGCATGCAATGTGGAAAGTTAGGTGGAGGGCGAAATATTGTGGAATATCAGTGCAGTGGTAACCCACGAGAGATCAAACGACTCTGTGCTATCCGTGCAGCAATAAACGTACAACTAACACAGCAACAAGATAGGAACACTTTATGGCAAAAGTAAATATGACAATGTCATTTTAGTGTTAACAACAATTTGCAGTAGTGTTCCTAAACGGACTTTTCCCCAGAAGGATGTGTCCTAACATGACCAACTCGGAATATTTTGTCTTGCTGCTTTCAGTCTGGCTCGTTCGCGGGGGTTCTTTTGGCCCTTAAATCAAACTAGCCCTGCAAACTTTACTCGCTTCAAGCAATTGGTGCGTAATTGGTTTTCATTCAGTATGGTTATCTTGACCGAAAACTGAAGCATTTTTTACTTTTTAGCAAAGCTAGCTGCAATCAAATGCCTGCGTGTGATAAACAAAAGTATGTTCCTGATGGATTGAATGTGACCTGTCTGCACGCATGTAGAATTCCTAACACTGCATGAGACAAGTTAGTTAAGGAGGAGAGATTAGACCTCCGGTCGTCTTTATGAAGTCATACGATTGAAACGCTAAACATTGGGCATCTTTATGTAACCAGCACGCAAACTGCACTTAAAATACGTACTGTTATTCCCTATTCATATACAGTGTTACCTTGTCTAACTATTCTTTACCTGGCATCCCAAGTGGTGACGACGGAGCCACAAAGTAGCAGTTAGTTGCTTCGGTACCTAAGCGATAGGTCGCTTGGTTTAACGTTCCGGCCTATCAGTACAACGAAGACATCCGTAACTTGGTTTCCTTAAGACTCAGCTCCCGTGACAATGTATGTCTCAATAGTGGCCTGTCCTATACCTCTTTCTCAGTCAATTACATCCATGCAGCTTTCAACTTTCTCTTGGAGGACCTCGTGTTGATGTACTGTATGCAAATTCCGAAGCATTTGTACTCTTTTGCTGCAGTTTGTGATACCGTCAAAACCAGCTTGAGAGATCTATGGAGGAATATGATTTTCTTAAGGAGGAAATTATAAGCGTTGTGTTTGCAATTTGTTGCTGCTAGTGTGTCAGCATCAAGAGTGCATTCACAGTAGAACTACTCAGAAAAATGGATAAGTTGCAATAATTTCAGCCTAATTCCTATGTAATCCTTCAAATGTGGTATGTCATAAATCCACCGCGAGTTCTGTTAGTTCATTCCTCGGGTAAATCACGTTGCAACATAGAAGGAATATAAGCAGTAGTGTCATACCACAGACGCACACTTAGCCCTGTGATATACTGTTGTCGGCTTAAGCCTTCTTGGAACTCCTCACTGTTCGGTTTGAAAGATACCATGATTACACCTCTTTGGTGTGAAGAAGGCAAATGCTTATTACTGTTCATTCCTGAAGTAGTAAGGTGTCACATACCATTCTTTTGTAAAGAGCGTCGTAGGTAGAGAGCCAACAGGAAAACCGGTCAACAACAAGGGAACCGGTGTTACAGCGTCTGAGCACCCTTATAAACGACGCTCCCATTCCAAGCCTTGCCACTGATGGGTGTCCAAGCCTGAATCACATCGGAAGCAGGTAGAAGTAATTCAGACATGGCTAATCCAGAGTACGTTTCTGTTCAACACCACGGTCATAATCTAATTTGGAGAACTCAGCTCCTTACTAGAAGCCTGCTATTGACTATGACATTTGAACAAAGCTATTTGCTAATTATTTAGCGATTTTACCGTCTTACACAAGATTATAAAACACTGTGTTTCCAAGATGTGTCTAACCCTTCTATAACGCAAACAAATGCAATCTCTGTGGCCTTAGGTAGTTCTATACTACAACGAAACGGGATAGAGCTTTAAATGAGCCTTTATGCAATGAAATTGAATGTTACTGGCTTGCTATTATTAACATAGCCACAACAACATTCTACTCAATGTCCTTCCACAACTGAACATTCATAACAGTGAGTGACCAGTTTTCTACGACTTACCGGAACAAATCCCAAATGTACTTATGAAACCAATCCAGCACCACAAGCGAAACATAATGCACGGGTTGGAGACTGTTTGTTCAATGTTACACTAGCATGTAGCCGGTCCTTATATGAGACAGCTGATGAATCAGATGGTAGAAGTGCCTCGCGTTAATTGCCACAGGATCCACACTGTGTGGAATTCAAAGTGCACTCCTCCACCGGGACGAGCATTGGCAATGCGGGACGGATCAGTAAAAAATGACGCAGCACGCCTTCCAACCTGCACCCGTTTTCAGTATAGGTTTTTCCGCTTCCAAACAAACAGAAAAAATGAACTGGGCTCAGTGCGCCGTTGTTGTTCCTACATCGATTTTAAAAGTAATTGTGACAACTCAACGGTACGGGTTCTAACCACAAATTACGATGCGGTATGACAGAGGTATGAGGCGCCACTGAATTGCGGATGTCGTCGCCATTGCCCACATTTAGACAAGACAAAATCATGTCTAGTAATAATTCCATCTCCTATTGCCTCCACAATGTTCACATGCAGCAGGCTGTGACAGGCAGTAGGATAATGTTGACAGTCAGTGATAATAACGACCAATAGACAATGATTTGTGACGAAATAAGTGGCAAGTGCTTGGCAATTCTCATAGGACGGGTGAAAGGAAGACTACAAAATCAAAAGTTGCGTGAACCATGGTTTGAACTCGCAACGAGTTAATTGCGCTGCTGACTAGCCATAGTGCAAAATAAGTATTAAATGCAAGCAAACCGAACAACATGGGGCTCCTTGCTGTTTGAAGTAAAATGTGAGAAAAGTGGAAACAAGATCGCTCACTCATGTATCAACTTGGGTTTTGTGATACCCAAATTCGGCAGAAGGGCATGATTACTGTAATCCACGGAAGCGCAGCTAAGTTAACGAAGTGCCGGGAGCTAAATGGAAATCGCGTTCACAGGACACGACTTTGAAGGTGTGGATCTTCTCCCAGGAGAACGACTTCTTGACTTAGAGTATGCTGATAATATTGCCCTAATCTGTGACAGCTCACAAACATGTCAAGCGGCACTGGACCGATTAGCACTGACTGTCCGTCAATTCGGGATTTGCTTCGCACCCTCGAAGTGTAAAGCCTTCCTCCAAGATTGGTCTGGATCGCCTCCTTCGTTGACCCTTGGTGGGGATCAGCTAGAAGTCGTTCAAAAATTCAACTACCTGGGAAGTTGTATCAGCGCCCGTGGGATTGAAGATGAGACCACGAACCGTATGGCAAAAGCTCGAGGCGATTTTGCTAACCTTCGCCACCTATGGCGACGGCACGACATCACCCTTGCCTTGAAGGGTAGAGTGTACAATGCAGCGGTACGTTCGACCCTACTATACGGTTGTGAAATCTGGCCGCTTAAAGCAGCAGACGTGAAGAGGCTAGTTACGTTCGACCACCGGTGCCTTCGCAGTTTGGCTCACATCTGGTGGGAACACCGCGTGAGCAACGAGCATGTTCGACGCCTTGTTTAGGTGGCCAAGCGATGACTTGGTCCAGAGGAATGAAGGCCCTCACTTCTGAGCTGGCCTCGCTTGAAGCGTCTCGGCTCTCTGGTCGGGGTCCGAAAAACGATGAACACGTTTGATTGGACACACTTGCTGATATGGCTAGGAGCCGACCTCAGTGGCGTTCGTGCTGTGAGTTTCTTTGTCCCACCCCATCCCTCTTAGCCTCCCCTCCAACCACGATCTCATTATTTAGCTTTATATAATTTCGCATAGTATTTTTTTGTTGCACAGTAGCCGACTGGTAGCTTACCGGAACGATGCCCATCCGTTACCGGTAGCTCAACCGGCTTACACCAGCTGCTTTTTTTCTCCTTTTTTTCTGTATATTGCGGCACAGTAGCTGAGGTGTTCCGCCTCTAGCTAAGGTGTATGACAATGATGATGATGCCGATAACTAAGGGCAAAAGGTAAACATATTTTTGCAATTGTCCAAAGCAGAGGAGGATACAAGGTAGTTTGGGAGGCAGTTCCATGGTTGGCAAAACCGAAGAGAACGGTAATTCCGTCGACATTCTTCACCGTTGCATTGTTCCCTCAGTTCCACGCAGGTATTTCTAAGTTTGTTGTTGTGACTAGGTTCCCTTAAATGGTGGCAAATCTGATTGGAGTCAATCCATATTTGTTCTAATAGTAGGTGATGGCCGTGAAGTCTTCGATAGCGTTCGCTGAACAGTACCGGCATATTAATCCATTGCTGGTAAGATTAATTACGTAGACCCTTGGCATTCTTTGTTGTCCTGCATTATGACGCCTCTAGCACTGCGAGCTCCCAATTCAGCCTACTTTACCAGGCTTGGATTGCGTTTTAAACTTGAGGGTGCAGGTGGAAATTGCGCACCAGTGAGCAGTTTGACGGGACAAATTTCCCGATTTGCCTTCATAATAGGCCTATATGCTGGTTGCTTTTTCACGCGGCTGCCCAGACTGTTGTTAACAGTTTAGGTTACGGTGTATGAAGAAATCAATTTAACCTTGCTGGGAGCTCGTCTGCTATCCATGTGCCGTGAACAAATACATTTATTCATATCTTCAACGCATTTGCACAACGACATTCTTCTACATTGAGTGGTAGGGCATTCAGAACTGACCATTTCGAAATCGTGTTAAGATTGCAATGGAACCCTTCGTGGTCATCCGATACTCTGAGCACTCACATCTGCTTAATTTCATCTGCGAAGAAGACGTGATCATAATCAACTGATCTCGCTAGATCAGTTATGAAAACTATCAATGAAATAGGCTCTAGCTCCGCGCATCGTGTCACATTGTACTCCACCACAATTTTATTGGAGAGCGATTCCTGGACTCTCGCCTCCAATCTACGTACGTTCAGAAAAATTGTTCATTCAAAGCAAGACTAGGTCGTCAAAGCCGTGGTTCTAAAAATTGGAACAACGATTTTAATGGATTTTCTGGTCGAACGCTTTTGGGAGATTCAGGTAGATAGCGTTGATTCCTTCTCCAATTTCAACTGCTTCAGTCCAGCTATTGCGTTCATTCAATATATTAGCATTACACCAGTGCATTTGAGGGATTCCAATTTACTCTAAGGCTATGATGTCATGGTTTTCCAGTTGCTGCATCAGCGTATCTGGGGTGATTTATTCTATATCATTAGAAAGCAAAGGAAGTAGCGCTATTTGCCCGTAATTGATATGGTCAGTATGACATCTTCCCTTATGAATAAGAATGGTGGCCCACTGCTTCTATACAAGTGAAAGTTCGTTCTCCTCTGGACTGCGCTGATAGAAAACGATCATTAGTTACGCTAGGCCGCTGTCTACTGCTTGTAGATCCTTCGGTACGATGTTATCCACTTCACGAGAACTATGGCTACACAGAAATAACGAGTGTTTCAACACAGCTTCTGCAGTGAAAAGGATATCGGATTAAGCTGAGGTTAGGGGAGTAGAAACTAGGAAAGTATTTCGGTTCGGTACTCGCTTCTACGTACGGGAGTGATGAAAACGTAAGAGAGCAGCAGCTTCCATCGCTGAGCGCGCATACCCGTAAGTCGTAACCAGTGCTGAGATTCCGCACGCACATTATGAAGGCAATTAACGTGGATGTATGAGCTAGCATTTCTTGCAGGTTTGCTCCATTACCTGTCGATGCATCACACTTTTCTGCGGGATCAATTGCTCACAAGTTAGCCGTGCCAAGTTTGCCGTCCAGGTGTCGGCATTTGGGTAGTGCTTGTAAGCTAATCATGCTAAATGCTTCAAGGACACCTTTATTTTTTCTGTTCCTTAGAAATGACTTGGTTTTGCTTTGACAATGGAAACCATCCTACTCAAATGATTTGTATGGCACGGGTATACTAGCTAGAGATGAAAGATCTCGTCTGCCAGTTTCTGTGAAAAGTTTTATTTGCGTAGATGCATAAGTATCTCTGTAAATACTCATCATAAGAAAGGTAAACCAAGCTATTCCGACTTCGTCATGGGGAGATTGTGGGTGCAGGATTTGTTTGCAATATGTTTTCCTTCGATGCGTACTTGCGCTGCAGCGTAGTTAAAATTATTTAAAATAACGCCTTCATTTGTTACACGGGTAAGCGTAGAAAGGATGCAAGACCTAAGAAGTTTTCAAGGTTAATAACTTCGGAAGGAAAAGTTTATACCATGTTTGACTTCGTTGCTTTGTCAACTTTAACTTTTGTGAGAGCAGTAAGCAGTTGTGATGTTGTGTACCTGACTCTGACCGAGATCTAATTCTCCGTAATTCGAAAATATATTATTTCGCTATTTAGTATTTGTAGTCACAGTTGCGACTGGGCTACAAAAGGTGGCAACAAATTTGGTCGATATTCTGCAACATATGCTAGATGAATGTTGGGTGATGCCGCGTCAGACGATGACCCCAACTCACTTTCCTGGGGTTTTCATTGTAATTCAATCTGTCAGATGCAGCAATCGCATGACATTTTTACTAGCATCCATGGTTGGACTAGCAAAACTACGAACTTGTTTTTCTGCTTTGGTTTCCGGGCTTGGGTATCACACCAAACTGGCGTCTCACCAGCATGGTAACAGGAGGAGAACATAGTCAAACTGTCCGAGCGCCATCGACACGAGACCGTCGCGTCGATTTTGCACTTCGGCACACGGATCTGTGTAATAGCGTAACCTATATTTTATCACTGCGCAATGAGCCGGCAATATATATGTATATAATTTTTGGTAATGAGTTACATGAACCGCTTGACAGTTGTTGAAGTTATAGAGTGTCACTTAAGAGGTGGTTATTCGGAAGCGCCGTTTAGGTCTCAGCGTTGTAAACCCAGGACTTCCTGAGTGTCCATCGCCCGCCATTTTTTGAAGTCCCCGGTGACAGGAAACAGATCCGATGTGAGCACACCTACAAACACTTTAAAAAGATTGGAAATAACAGCGGCACATAAATGAGCTTCACAATCCACCGTTTTCTACTGATTCAAACAATGAGTCCGCCGTATTGTAAGTCTGTTATAGATTGTCAAACGCCAATGACAATGGCTCGGAACACAGATTTGCACTAGCTCCAGTACCCCAATGCAAAAGATTGGATTCGAAGGAAGAACTCAAATGCAGTAAATCAAATCGACGACTACTAACCACCTAGCTGGTGCAGATACAGATTGATGAGGTTAGAAATGCGCCGCCTGAAATGAACAAAGGAAGGATAGGTAGCGTAGAGTCATACAGCAAATAAATAAACAGAGGGCGAAGAGAAAACAAATTTTCAGG